AATACCTAAATGTGATTGACATTAATCGAAATTGTAAATGTGAAGGCAAACTTACTCTCGAACTAAATCTACATCTGCCCTGCTTTTCAGCGTTGATCTTTTAGGGCGTAGGAGAACATCTTTGAAGTCAAGTTTGGGCTCGAAATCAATCCGAGGCATTCTAAAAGTTGTTTCATGTGCAAATTTTTTTGAGTTTCAAACAGAGCATTTATAGACAGCAAATTTAACACAATATGAAATTGATATTAATTGAAATGCTCTGCCTAAACTGTATTTCGGCAGATTTACGTTCAAGACAAGCTCGAGCAACAAATAAAAATTAATTCGCTTGTTTAAAACAACTGCCTAATTCCTTTCTATGTAGTAATCTATCCATAATCAATTACTCTACTACTCCTGATCCATTCTGATATGACTTGGACATAACTTGCGTTTTTTGTTAGTTCTCCAAAGAAATTATGAACTGGTTCCCTAAAATATCGGAACCAACTTGATTTAATTTAGGAGTTGAGTTCTCGTGATGACACGACACGGATAAAGATACCATGTTGTATCTATGCTTTTTAACCTTAAAAATGATTTACAAAGGCTTTAAAGATTTGTATATCTTTTAATTCGATGAAAGAAAGGCCTCTCTAACTCGTGCAAATCCTAGTATCATCTCGAAAACAAGGCATTCGCATATACAAAAAATAAGATATGAAGTGAAAATCTAAAAACAAATCAGAAAAGAAAAGGAAGTAAAGAGAAATTCTCCGTCTCTATGACTATGTTTAGAAAGTAAGCATTAGTGCTAGGCTATAGATTCAACGTAGTCCAGCATAAGAAAGTTTTCGGCATTTGAGAATTTCTTAAGATGCCGCAGGCAAAGTATTTTATAGTTCTCTTGGCAAGGATTGTTGAGAAGACGAAGGAGAGGATTGGCAAGGATTTGGGAGATTTGGGTGCCGAGCTGCAGGTGCTCAACGTAAAATATTATCAAAAATTACTTGATTTAAAGAAG